TTCTCCCTTCTGAAAAAAAAACCAATTTATAAAAAAAAATTTTAAAAGATAAATTTTTAATATTTAATACAGTAAATTGTAAACTTTAAGAAAAGTAATTGTACTACTGAAATTTTATTGGTTAAAAATTATAGAAATTAATAAATTACAAAGATTAATATAGTATTAATGAAAATCTAATATATTTTCTATTTTATCTGAAAAATCTAAAACTTATATTTTGTTGAAACAGAGGAAAACTTTAGTTTTAAGTTAATAAATTTTCCGGATTTTTTGTTTTGCTAAAGGATTAAATTTTCTGGATTTTCATTACATTTATATTAAAAACAAGTTGAAGTTTATGGTAGTTTAAATTTCGAGATACGTTTATAAGAGGCAAAGTAGAATTAGTTCTTTTTTGTATCAGGGGAAATTAGTTACACTTTTTGAAAAATCATCCTAAGTTCGTTAAGGTGGGAGATTACCATATAATTTTCTGTTTTAAATATAAAAATACTTAAGGTTGTTGTAACACTAGAATTCTCTGTTAAGACTAAAGATTGTAGACAGGGCAGCAGCTTCTAGTCCACCATATCAGTCCATGAAAAACCTCTTTTACAGGCTTAACAGAGAATTCTAGTGTTACATTCTTTGTGACTGCGGGATATGTTTTGTGGGCGAGAAAGGAGCATAATTACGATTACTCTAGCCGAACGTAGAGCTAAACCAAGTGTCTTAGCTCACCGAACGTAGAGCTGAACCAAGCGTTTGTTAGAGACTCGAATCTATGAGTTTGGTCAAGTTGGAACGGTTTTTATATTGTGCAGGTCTAAAATGGTGTCTAAGTATTAGGATAAGATTCGTAAGGTAGCTCATCTGCCAAATCTACTGGCATAATTCTACTTTAGCAGATGTGCCCACCAATCCGTCTATATTCGTGAATCATTTCAAGGAATTATCGGATTCATCTTGCTAAGCATGTAATCATTCACCAAACAAGTTGCCCATACACACCACAACAAAATGGAGTGGCTGAGAGGAAAAATCGCCATCTTCTGAGGTTCAACAATGACACAAGAACTCTCTGAGAAATGCAATTATGGATGCTGGCGCATCTGCCATAGTGATATCCATGCTTGATGAGATTGCATGGGTGCTTAATCTGGTAATACTCCAGATTTGAGTTTGTAAGTGAAAGGGTCAACCTGGAAACGAGCGACCAGGATGATTGTATAATATTTATTTTGATATGTATCTTAATTAGTATAATTATCATAACGATTTTAAATTTTTAAGTTTTAATTTTCATATAAATAGGTTTTTTATGCATAGATTTGTATTCAGTTTTTGATAAATTAATAAAAATTGTGATTTTTTCTTTATTTTTTTTTTGTTTTGGTAGATTTATAGAGATCTCAACAAATTTAAGAAGACATTGAACTTAGGTATTCTTAAATTAAATAAAATCCTTGTGATAATTCTAGTTTTTGGGATATTTTCAGAATCAACGGATCAGTAATTTTGTCTCTAAAAGCGTCCGCTACGGTATATTCGGATAAAGATTCCAACATGTCTTGATTGTCGTAGTGTGTTGCAAGTGTTGACCAATTATCTTCTTCAGATTTTGAGATTTGACTTTTGACAACACCAAATAAATCTCTCATGTATATATGCATGGCCTCGAACGCATCCCTTCTAAATACAAAATCAATTGGCTCGACAATCATTATGTTTTCATCATACGTATCATAAATTTCAGGACCAATAATTTCCTTGTCTTTGCAATACAGTTGGCTCGACAATCATTATGTTTTCACCATACATATCATAAATTGCAGGACCAATAATTTCCTTGTCTTTGTCGTATAAGTTCTCGGTCGAACTAAACAGATATTCATCACAGTGACAATAACACCCCAGCGACATGGTAACTAGGAACCAGAACTGAACCTTGATTAAGAAACCAATGTATTGGTTCTTATACCAACTGATGTAGTAGAAAATCTTAGATGCCAGTGTTGCGGCCGCTTGCTTTGAAGGGGGATGGTTTCTCCCTCATCCACGATCTGAAGAAGAGGTTCAGTTGCATTCTCACCTCACACTATTGGACCTTCCCAACGCTAGTCAAGCTGAAGATACTTACTCTTGGGTTGTCAACAGTTTTGATTGCAAAGGCTTCTCATCAACGAAAACTTGGGAAGCACTGATACCAAGAGATACTAAGAAGAAATGGGCAGAGATAATCTGGCTCAAAGGATGTATTCCTAAGCACACTACAAGAAAACACCGCGATTCTTACGGACATTCCGAAATTTAAACTACCACCAAGATCAAACCAAATGCCTATATTTAGGTATATTTTTGAAAAAAGGAATATAAGTATAATGATGCGGGTTAATCTATTATAATGTTAGCCACCTCTATCTCGAATCAAATCGGTTGTACAATTTCTTAAACAGTTTACGATTATAAGGTTGCATGCTATCTGATAATTGATAATAACGGTGGTACAAAAGGAGCTTAATTTAATCTGATATTGGAAGGGTTCTTGTAGCTTCTATGGAGATTCACCGTGACCAGGCGTTCGATCCTAGCTGGTGTAATGTCATTTATGGTTTTGTATCAATGTTTTTCATAGGTCTGGTTTTCACTGAGAGAAGCAGTCCAGGCTCTGTCGGCTAAGAACCTTTTTGCTGATCGGGTAACGTATATCATGAAAATAATTTTAACATACATTAATACTAATTTATAATGTGATTAGGTAATTATTTATCAACAATGAGGAGCCCAAATCTCTGATTATAGCATTTATCGCAAAACTCTACAACCGGGACCTGCAACGTGTTGGCGGCTCTAACCTCCATTCGTGCTAAAATTCTCTTATCAGGCGGGTCTCCTACTTAAACTCTTTGTTTCTATTCTGAATAATCATTCACTCTTTTTATCAATGAATGGATTATACTTATATTTTTGAAAAAAGGAATATAAGTATAATCCATTCATTGATAAAAAGAGTGAATGATTATTCAGAATAGAAACAAAGAGTTTAAGTAGAGAAGAAGAAAGTGAAAAGTCCTAAAATTCTAGAAAATAAGAAAAGCTTAATTAAAACTTAAATTATTTTGAAAACTAAATTATTAATTATTTTGGCTTCCTTCTTGACTTGATTTTCGTGGCTGTCCATTCAGAAATTCTCTCTAAACTCTTTGCTCTTTGGTTATGTTACCAAAAGTCTTCTGGTAGTGTAATACTGCTCCCGGAATGCGTCAATACGTGCACTATCTATCTTGGGCAGTCGCACTCGGCGTTGGGGTACAGTGTATCGGGCGACACTGACTGGAGTGCATCGGTCGATATAATGGTCTTTTTGTCGATCGATGGGAGGGTCAACATGTCGGTCGATGTCGTGCGGATCGATTTTGACAGGGACGGGCGGATGTGGGTGTCATGCTGCAAAGGCTTCATGAGGCATAATCTTGATGGCACTGCACTCGTGAGGGTACTCGTCTAAGTCCATCGATCGACACTCATCAAAGTCTATCGATCGATGTACATGGGATCGTATCGGTCGATGTTCACGGGATGAAATCGATCGATAATAGTCGCGAACCAAGTCTCTCTCATCATCAGATCTTTGAATCTCTTCTACTACCTCTTGCCAAAAATCATCATCCAGAATGGCATTGATGTTATGGTTGCTGGCAAACTCCTGCTTCTTTAGGGCTTCTCCTGTCTGAAACACCTGAGTGTCTAGCTTATTCCCATGTGTGTTTAAAGCATCTAGCTTTGTGGTGAGGGTGTTGTAGACGGAGTCAATCTTTCCATTGAAGTCTGTCTGGAGTTTCTGTTGACTCTCAAGAACCTTTTCTAGCATCTCCTCCAATTTACTGTCTTGGGTGGGTTATTTTGCATTTATTACATCTCACATTAATTGACATTTTTATTAAGAATTACAACTTTTCATGTTATTTGGCATTCACAACCTCTGTAATTAATTGAGATTTTTATTAAGAAAAACGTCAATTAATGTGAGATGTAATAAATGCAAAATAAAATGAAAAGTTGTAATTCTTAATAAAAATGTCAATTAATGTGAGATGTAATAAATGCATAAGAGTGTTAACACAGACTGCAGAAAGGCGACGGTTAAGAATGATACACTGATCGGCAGATGTTTTAAAAAACACTGGAAGAGTTGGCATTGAAGAAAAATGAGCTAGGTTAGAATCTTAACAGAATGAATTTGTGTCTGAGATGGCGTGCCTGTTGTTGTTTACTTGGATATATAACTGTAAGAGTGAGTTTAGAAAAATCCGTTTCCAGAAGCTTGCAGCTAACGTAGAGCTGATCTTATGTACAACGGACGAGCTCTTAATTTGAGTTTATGTGTGGATAAAAAATCAGCTGACATTATATTGACATTGACAAGCTGCTGGCCGCCTGGTGTATCAATGCTTGATCAAATTTGCATACTAAACTTATCAATGATATTAGTTATTTCAATTGATGGTTAAGCTTAGCAATGTGGTCTGGTAGGACTGTTGGCAAATCAACTAGTGGTGTTGCTCTAACCTTTTTTAAACGAAACGATTCTCCATTATATATAGGAGCAAAGGGTCTAAGAAGATGTGTTGATAGCTGGTCTGAAGCAGATACCCATTATATATAGTTTATGTTTAAAAATCAAACTACTTGTTTGACTCATCTCGGGACAAATGTGCTTGACAGGATATTGCCTCTCTTGATCAGGAGAGTCCAACGGTTATATCCAAACATAATATCATGTTCTTTGTACAATGTGGTACCCACTTATTAATCTATAATAGGAGAACGGTATCGAGGTTTATCGGCAAGGGCCGTCAGCTTTTAAGATCGAGTATGCCGATCCCAAAATAATGGGTCCTTCTCCCTAATGCTCGCAGAAAAATAAACGATCCTTGACAACATTGTATCCTTGGATATATACTTCTCAAGATGTTTCTTAACAGGTGAACGTGTCATTAACAGGTACAGATTTGAAGATGAGTCATCTTGTTCGACTTGTTATGGTAGACTGGGAAAGAGGCGCTCAAAGTGCATGGAAGTTTAACGTCGACAATACAATGGTGAAACACGAGGTGTTGCTGAAAGAAAACGAGAGCTACGTTTCCCTCATGGGGATGGTGAGAGAGAAATACAAGCTACAAGAGGTTCTGCGTCCAACTGAGCCGGTGCTACTGACGTATGATTTTCCAGATATCTCTAGAGAGCCAGGCAAATACTCACCCCCACCTGTTGAAATAAAAGAGGCTGGGGATGTGGAGTTGTTCATGGCCGTAAGAGTTGATCATTTCTGGCTAGATATGTATGTCATATTCGGAGAAGAAGATGTGGACCACTGCAGGATACAGAGGGACGAGGAAGATGGGGTGAATGCCTCGCAACAGCCACTTTGGTGAGGGACTTGTTCGCCTTGAAGGTATAACTCTTCTTGTACTGGTTAAATTTATTTTTAATGGATACAAAAATTGTAGAAGTTAAGCTAAAATGTTTAGGTGCACACAGATCTTAGAGCGAGGGGTTATATGGTGGTGTACAAGGAGTAAGAGATGGCGTCCTCGGATATCATTTTCTTAGTCATTTAATCCGTGAGCACACTTCCAGAAGGACGCAAGGGTGATTGATCTGGTAGTGATGTCAATTTCTTATCATAAACGCACATATAAGATGCTTTTGATATACCCGAGTACCGGGTGGTGCATTTAATTGAATCAAG